TCGAGCCATGCTCTACGGTCTTTGAGTCAAAGTTTCATATGCAAATAAAAGAATACAAAAGTCATTTTATTAATGCAGCAGAAGGAGGTTAATTCATTATGAACTACATGATTTTTTTGTGAAAGGATATCAGACTTTTTAAAAGAAAGCATAAAACGGTTTGTCCCCTAAACAATCCATGCTTTCTGAACTTGGCTTTTATTACAATTTTATTCTTTTTTCATAGAAAAAAAGTTTGTCACAAGAGAAAAATATTTACTATGTATACATTACTCTGATAAAAAACTGCACAAAACAAACAGGATGAAAGGAATCAGATTCCTTACATTTGTTACTAAACTGGTGTGTCCATATGCCATATATGCTACTGCTAAATGTCACTTAACAAGAAAAGCACCACCAAGAATTGTTCTGCATTACAGAAGTAACAATGTTTGAAACTCTGAAAGGCATTAAACACCCACCTCTTTTCCATCAAATAAATAGGTAACCTTAAGCATCACTTGAAAGGCAGAACTACATACATTTAACTGCGATGAAATAAAAAGCACTGCCAGATAATTTAACATTTAAACATCTAGCTCAAGTACCAAACAACTCAGAAGACCTTTAGGCTCTGCATTTGGCATCGTAAGTGCAGCAACATAATGGTGATATTTTCTTTTCGCTGTACTGCTGAAGTAGAAATGATTACTGAAATAACACACACTGCATGTTTTTAAAAGCTCACTTTTTTTTTTTTCTTCCCTGAAGCTAAGTTTTAAAGAAAGTACAAAAGGCATGATTGTACAGGTTTATGCTGAGGTATTATTTCACATGAAATATTGCTTGTGTAGGAAACAAAGTCAGCTCTTCCTGCATCTCTAATACCATAGTAGTCTATAGTCCACCTGCCCATCAGTATTTAGGAGACTTCCAGATTCAACTCCTGTTTGCGAGAACAGAAGTTATACACCTCCACCACACAAGAGTAGAACAGACATCTGTAAATGCAGAGAGAACATGCTTGTCCAAGCATTCACACCACCAGCTTATGCTATAGCCTCCTGTTAAGATTTTTGGTTAAAGGATAGAATATACGAAGTTAACAGCAGTCGTTGAGAAGTGTTTCAATCACAACTCACAATCCCTATGATCCGACGTCACAGCTCCCATTCATGTGAATCACATGGGAAATCTGAGGAAGGGTCACAAGATTTGGACATCAGTGGGTGACTTAGTAAAAACAAGGTGGTAAGAACAAGATTTGGTCCCTAACCTTTCACCTTTCAGTAAACAGTAATGCCACCAGAGCAAATAGTTCGAAGAATTTTCAATGTCTGTTAAACCTTTTGGCCCTTTTTCTTTCCCATTTTTTTATCTTCTCCTTGCCCCCATGCAATGGAAACTGTACTTAAGATGGTATTGTATTCAATCGTATTTCTGTTTACTTTGGAAGAAATAAAACCAGTCATTTCTTTTAATGATATCAACAGAAACTTACGCTCTGAAGTTCTTTTCATTTATTAGTCTCAAACTATCTGTGGCAAATCTATCAACTGAGCTCAAGTATGTGGTAATTCAGGAACTGAAAGAGCGCTTTTTTAAGATTTAAGACAAAACTGTACATGTCAGTTTAGCTGTGGCTTAATTAAACATCAATCCACAAGTCTAATGGTAACAGGTGAGTGTCTGAAAACACTGAACTCAATTTATTCTCTCAAGGAATTTGGGGTTTTTTTGTATTTACTATGATGAAACATGTCACAAATTGGGAATGTGAAGGAGGAAATAAGCCAGCAAAATAGCAACACAAATTGCTTTGCAAATGTTAATCTTCCCAGTGAACAGCTGTTAGATGGCTGCCACACATCCCAGCTGCACCACTTACTACACAATCATCCTCAGAGGCTGGGGTATTAAGACACGACAGAAGCTCTAGAAATCAGAGGGACAGGATCTTTTTGTTTTTTAGAGAAAAAAAAATCTTAACAAAAAGAAACACCAATTCAGTCTTTTGTTTGTTTAATAAAAGCTTGCAAGGCACATGTTTCAACTGAATTGCAACATCTACAGCAAAACAGATCAAAATTTGCAAAATACTCCCCTAGCCCTTTCAGGGAGTTACACCTGTGACCTGGTTGAAAACCAGGGTTACGTGGACAAGTCTGATGTAATTATGCCCTACTGATGTCCTTCTGATGGATACCATGAAACTTACTGATTGTTTTTCACAGAAGGTGAGGATTAGAATAGACAATAGTATTTTTGCTAATCCAAAACTGGGTAAGAAATTCAAGCTCATAGTTTTCTTTCTGGGTTCTTCCAGTCAGTCACTTAAAGAAATGCCTTTTTATGGGAACAACAGTAATGTTTCTTCCACATAAAAGGCTCCTTCTGTTACTTAAGGCTGCTGTGCCAATGGTGCTGCAATACAATTTTCTCTAATATAAAAAGCAAGGTAAAAATCTTAAATGATTCTCCCAAAGCAGAATCAATTGAAATATCAAGAATACATCTTAAGAACAATGTCAAGACTAATAACAACTATGTCACAGTTCAAATAAAGTTCAACATGTTCATTTAAACATGTATCAAGGCCAACACGCTACAAGATAGTTTTCTTTAGAAGTATGGGTGGCCTTGATCGTGTTTTTCTTAACATGTGTCTGCTCTACACATAAGCATTCAGACTACGTTCTGTGTGGTAATACATACAGCACTGCAGTAAAACCCAACAGGCAGTCAAAGATAGTTAAATATTGCATCTTGGCGTGGCAATCTAAGGCATGAAGCCGTGAGCTATACAACTTCATCCACCCAAGTGCAGTTGTAACCCTGAAATTTGCTACCTGGAATGCCTTATTGCTGTTATGAAATGATATTCATGAATGATTAACTTCAGGCGAGTAAATGACTGACACACAGACATGTAATTCCTTGACAATGATTCAAACAACCTGCAATTGTATAGGGAACCCTAACCTCACGTCTCAGGCACTACATTTATATCCATAATAGCACACAGAGAGAAGGTTCCTGCAGGCCTGCCATAGCTCAAGTTAATACACCAGCTTCTGCTGTTATATGATAACTGAAAAATCTGAAACAGTCCAGTGCAGTAAAACACATGCACTTGTGCATAAGCAAATAAATGCAGGCTGCCAGAGACACATGTACACACTACCCACAACATGACAACTGTATCACCAGAAAGGATATTTACTTTGAAACTGTAACTCAATTATACTGATAAATGTTTCTCTCGGTGATCACATCCAGTACATTTGATGGATTGATGTGAACACTGGTTTCAAATAATATGCAAAATTTAACATCTCATCAAGACACATACGCCTAAAATGTAACTGAAAGTAAAAAAGAGAGGACAGACATGTTGACTTTAACAACAATAAAGCTTTTTTTCTTTTAAATCACTGCAATAGTGATAATAGGTTTTAAAAAAAACTCGTCACTACTTTTTAGTGTCAAGTAAGCAAATGTATCTGCAAAGAGCAGATAGGAATCACACATATACACCAACATACTGCAGTTGTTAACAATTTCAGAGTTATAATCTGAGTTTGCATTTGATCAATAAGTATAGTAATGACTGCTTTGCAGTTTTCACTTGCAGAATATTTTGCAGATTTTTCGGTTGAAGGTTCATCCTATCATGCCAGATCCTTTATTAAAGACATCTGGGCTCAAAAGAATCATTCCAACATGCCTGACAGACTGGGCTCTGAGCCAGGTGTTACAAGAACCCGTAATGGCAAGTAACTACTAACAGGTGAATAACCTCTTCCAAAACTTAGGTCCTGGCTTTTTGTCCAGCTACACCTCCATAAGCAAAGCTACCATTTCCTTTTATGGAATTTTTCATTAACAACATCAAGATTAAGACCAGATTTAAAATTAAAGCATCATTCATTATTTTGGAAGTGTATCAGCCAGCAACAAACAGGATAAACAGGTAATCTGGTAAGACAAATAGCTGTGGAGGCAAAGGGGGTCATATGAGGAAGACAAATTTGAGAGAGAAGCAAGACTGCAAGATTTCCCAAATTTTCAAAGATCTCAGTGTGGTTGCATAATTGATACAAAAATATCTATGAACAATAGCACTATTACTTATTAATGCGGTGATTATAGTGTTCTAATTTAAATTACAGCTATGACACTATCTTAATGTAACTGCCACATAGTAAGTTGAATGAAATGTGTATCACCCATCCCTACAAGCACCCCCA